TTTTTTTTTTTTTTTTTTTTCCGCGGGAAAAATTTCACCCTAGTTAATTGCTAAAAAGGGACACCCCAAAAATAGTTACGACGATTTGTTAGTCCACCAAAAGGTGGGTAGTGGTTGGATTGGCCGCAGTTCGAAATGGAAAAGGAGGTAAGTGGTACTCCAGCCGAGGGGCGTGGGGTAAACAACTGCGTCATATTAAAAGGTGCCACTCGCATAAACACAAAATGGATCAAAATGAGGCAAGGACAATTAAATCGGGAAAGCATATCCTTTCCAGCAGCTTCGCCTCGTTGGGTGTATCCGTCGAAAGTTGCCACGAGTAGACCTTCTTATATACACCGGTTTCACCCGAATAGGAAAAAAAACAAAATAAGTTCACGTGAAATTATCATAGGGAAAGGACACCAATGTGAGTATATATGCCTCCCTTCTACACAGAGCGTTGGTCCAAATAGGTTTTTACGGATGGGAGAGGGTATCACCTGTCCCATACGGATACGTTTGACCAGAGAGACAGCGGAAAGGGGACCTCACGTGTAGGGGTTACGAGATGTGTAGCCCTTCCCCCGCTTGAGGCACGACACTTTTGGAAGCCATCCCAAGGAATGATGCCGATTGTACTGACAGACATTGTCCTCAGCCCTGTTGCGCACTCACCCGTAAGGACACATATGTCCGGGCAGGGGGGTCCAGCCAAAGTTGCACACAAAAGAAAGGTGTACATATACTGATAAGCAAACACTTGAAAAAAAAAATTAAAAGAAAATATGATAAAATAAAATAAAAGCACCCTCCCCAATGCAAATGCAGCTCACAAAAAGCAGCATAAAAAACAAAGGCAGAATGAAATGTCCCTTTCATGCCTCGTCAAAATCGCCGTAGCGTGGATGTCGTATTAACCCACTTGTGTTCCCCGTTGTAAAGTTTGACCGGCGAAGACATGCATAAAAAGGGCATGTACTTCGTGGCAGCTTTGTCTTGGCTTCGCTTTGACTTCAATTTGGCTTCACTTTGGCTCCTGTTCGGCCGCACCCGCCAATGCTTTCGCTCCAATGACGTAAAAGAAAACCCATACATAAAACCTCTAACTCTTCCATTGCGCACGCAGCGGAGCGGCAAAGAACGCCCTCTTTTGTTAATTCCACCTCAGCTGCAGCTCAGTTGTCTTCTCAGCGCACGTAGCATCGTACACAGGTCGGCATGTGCCTATCTCTACATACTTTTTTGGGCAGATAAAATTCCAACCATTTCGTGTCTTCACAAAAGTAGGGAAAGCTACAGCGTACTCTCGTCTACGTCGCTTGTTTCGTTTTTTTTTTTTTTTTTTTTTTCTTGCCTTCGATTCTTTGTCGTTACTACTTCGTGCGTTTAACAGCATTTAAGCAAGGCAAGACTATCTACACTTTGTGAGAGGTTCGGTGTGACCCTTCATTCGGCTCCTTCGTCATTTCCCTTCGCATCTTGCTCCCATCAGTGGTTGTCTAGCGCGATCACTGCCCCTCCCACACAAACGGGCAGCAAAAGGGGCAACAGAAGTAGTAACACCGGCAGCCGCATCGCCAGTAGCAGGAACACCACAACTGCGCACGTGTGGCCATTCCACTTTCAGACTAATGCCCAAGCGGAAGGCGAGCGTCCCCATCTTAGGGCACTGTCCCTGTGACTCAAAGCGCAGATGTGAAAGAGGCAGCGAGGGAGTTGTCTCCTCTTGCAGAAAAGCCAAATCGGAAGAACATCAAATAGTGGACGATGCTTTATTAAAATATAAAGGCGGGACGACAGGACTGTTCGGGGGGTTGAGATGTGCGGTGATAAAGGAGTTGGCAACTCGGATGGAGATCGCCCCGCTTGAGGACAGTCTGGTTGAGGAGAGGCTGATTGATGAGATTCTGGTTGAAGGGGGCCTCGTTGAGGACAACCCAGTTGAAGGGAGTAATCTCTTTGGCGACACTTCGAAGGGGCACCCACAGAGGAGCCCTCACAGGTTATCCCCCACAGTGGACAGGCTCACAGATGCGCAACTCTCCCTTTTAGAGAAGGTTGAACATCACGCAAGTAACAGGATGTATGGAAAGGTAAAAACGAGAGAGGCAAATACAGAGGAAACTGAAGACGAATGTACAGAGCAAGATAAAGAGCAGAGTAAAGAGGAAAGTACAGAGGAAAGTAGACAGCAAAATAAAGACGAAAATACAGAGGTAATCCCAGGGGGGGAAGACAATTTTGAGGAGATAAAGAACGATGTAAGTGGCCCTCTCTGTGGTGGGATGTCCCACGAAATAGGCGAACAGGCTGACATAAAACATGTAGATATAGCACATTTAGAAATTACAAATCAATTCTTCACGAAGGAAGATGAGGACCAAATGAAGAGCTCATCCGAGATCGAGTCCGTGTCAAAGGGGGGAAACACTAATGGTGTTGACTTACCTTTACGTGGAGATAAATGGGATCAAATAAAGCTCAGTGTGAGAAGTGATCCAACCCTTGCATCCACCCTGTGTGCAGATTCTGCTTCGACAATTTTGGGGTCGAGCCCAATTTATAGTCAATCACTGCAGATGAGGAATGGATATGCAAATCAACTGGAGGGGTGGGGAGCGACGGAGTGCCCCTCGGCAGATCTGCCACAGTGGGATCCCCCCAAAGATGAAGATGAGGAGGATGGAAATGATGAAAACGATAGAGACGACCAAGACGAAGATGATGAGAGAGTCTTCCGCGAGGGCAAAATGGCCCCTTCCCACAATGGAGGAAAATACTTCGAGGAGGACAAACCTGAGTTGATGACACACCCAAGCGGTTATCCCCCCCTGCTGTCTACCCTAAGCGATGAGTTGTTATGCTGCACTTCCAATGGTAGCGGTGAGACGAACAAGTGTAGTGGAACCCATGAATGCTTAACGGTGCAAAAGGAGAAGGAAGGGGGAAGTATCCCTTGCAGAAGCAGGCAGGTAGACATGAGCCATCATGGGGATGGCCCCTCTGATGAGGAGAAGACGTTTTGTGAAACCCTAACCAGCGAAGGAACCTCCTCCAAACGTATCTACCATTTTAGGAGAAGCAAAAATAATATACATATATACACACCAGGAGGAGGGGCCTACTTAACCATCGAGGATAACGGAGAGGATACCCCAGTGTCAATGACGAATGAAGAATCAAATGAAACACTCCACTGTGGGAGTGGACAAATCAAAGTTAAAAAGGAAGTTAACCCTGGGCAACAACAGACGGACATCCATTTCGTGAAGACCCAAAGTGCCTCCTTCCTGAGAAGCAGTAAAGAGAGTAACCACACGGATAATGAAACAGGTCTTAGAAAACCACAAGTGATATGCGAATTGGAATGTGCACATATGAATGGCAAAGGCCGTTTTGCAGACAGATCAAAAGACGCAAATCCCCATGAGGTGCGCAAATATGCATGCGCAGAGACTCTCCACCCACGAAGACGAAGTGCACCGGGAAGGACAGGGAAGGGAAAACTTACACCAATGTCGAAGAAAAAGGTAAAGGCAGAAAAAAAGAAAAAAAAAAAAATCCCCGGGAGAATTTACAAAGTTATTGTACGGGGGAAGGAGTGCTGGAGGGCCGAGTGGTTTGTCCAGAAGAGCCTCCAAGAAATGAGTTACCCCAATGGAAGGGTCCATGTGGCCATGGCGAAGACGAACAGGGAAGCGAACCAGGAGATGAATACGGAGACAAACACAGAGATGAAGACGGACGCAGAGGCTAAGATGAAAACTGAAAAGGGTAGTGAATGCTTCCAGGTGAGCCACCCCCACGGGAATGAAAGCTCAGTTGTGAAAAAGAGTAGGCAGTTTTCTGTGTCTGTGTATGGACCTGAAAACGCGAGACTGTTTGCCCTGTTCGAACTAATCAAATACAACTCCGTTCCGGATGGCTTGAGAGATGAAGCCAATCTGTGCATCTGCACCATCAGGAAAAATTTGATGGTGCAGGGGGGGTCCTCCAACAAATCTTGCAGCGGTCCATTCCTGCCTCTTATGTTTGCCGACTGGGACGATGCCTACTCACCCGCCTTGTTCAGAAAAATTCAGGGAGATATGGTGCGCAACTGGGGCCAGTTCACCAACGGGGGGTGCAGCGACATACACAGCGGTAGCACCGAGGTACACGACTTCGGTGGCAGCAAGGAGGAACCTCCGCAAGCTGTGCCCCACTTGGATGGATACAGTTTTCCTCGCAAAGGGAATCACGAAGGGGGGTTCGATTACGTGGTCAGGTGCGGCGGAGACTTCACTAGCCTAGGGGAAAACCCACCTAGCGGCGCGCCGAATCAAGCGAATCAGCAAAACCAGCCGAACCGCGGAAATAGCCACCCTAACCTGCTAAGTAACCATTCAAACCGCGTGAACAACTCGACGGGTCACACGGACAACCCGTCCTCACACAACCAGAACAACCTAGTGCACAGCATCAACGCGTACAACCTGTACTCAAGGCACATGGCCGACACGTTCGCACCGAACAAACCCTCGATGGTAAACCTGCACAAGAATTTCAACAGCAGCGACCATGCCTACGGGCCCCACGCAGAAGAAATCCTTAAGCTACAGAACCGTTTCTCATTCGGACACTTGGACGAATATACAAATGAGGCTAACAGAAACTGGGCCCTGCGGATTAACCATCCTGGATACCATTATAATTACACACGGGGTGACGACAAGATGAACAGCATGGGCACCTGTTCGTCTATCCATAGCTACTCAAATGAGTACGTAAATAACCATGATGATGTGAGAGGCCCTCCGGACAACCCGACCGCTGTCTCGACCGCCGATTCGACCACTAACTCGACCATCTTTGGCAACTATTTTCACTTCGATGGGAATGCGGTTAATTGCAAAATGGAGAAGAATTCCCCCGCCTTTGGGCCAAAGATGTCGGATGGGCGTGGCAGCGTGTTTGATCAGTTCGGCGGGGGGGCTGCACATTTGAGGAGTTGAGAATTCTGTACATGCATGTGCAGCTAGCCAAAGTAAAAAAAGAATAAAATAAAAAAAAAAATTTACATACTGTGTACATATTTGTGTACATGTCTGTCCATGGTTACAGAAAAAGCAATGACGGAACTGCTCACCCTTCTTCTTAAAATGACGCCCACAACTGTTCATTCTATTCGCAGTAGTTGCACGTGATGCGCATGTATCGGAATGCCTGCATAGCAACAGCCTTGAAAGAAGTATCCCCCACACCAAAAAAAAAAAAAAAAGACTCCCCTGGGGATTCAACTGCGTGAGGATATTTTCCCCCCCGGGGTTTCATACCTGTCTCTTTTTCTCCAAATGGATAGCTCGAGAGTAGCTTGGGCTGGTCAAAATGGAACTCCGCGATGGAAAAGTAGGAGGGGGGGTAGCGGCGCCGCATCCCAAGGAGGTGACCCTTCCACACCGCCAACATACAGCTAACACACAGTTAACACACAGCTAACACACCGCTCTACTCCTCAGAAGAGGCCGTAACTGACCTTGGCGACATACACCTCCAAGTGCTCGCTGTCCCTTTCCCTGCTCTTCAAACGCTCGGAGAGCACCGTGCCATACGTCTGCGTCTCCGCATACTTTTGGGGGGAAACCTTAGCATGTTGCATGCTGTTCAGTGCGGAGAAAACGTTATCGTTAAAGTGCTCTATGTGTTTGAGGATGGTGTTGAAATTTTTTGAGCCATACGTCGTTTTGAATGTGTGCAGCGTGTTTTTGTCCTCTTTAATTTTGTCCGCCCGGTCGTCTACACTGAGGTTGCTCGTAATCGTGTTCACGTCCTGTATGTTGTTGTAGGGATTCCTGGGGATCGTATGAACAGGCAAGCAAGTGTGACTGTAAAAATCTGCACTTAGGTTGTTCACTGCCTGAATCAGATTTACACAGTAGGATTTCATGTCATTAATGAACTTAGCGTACTGCAATGTGTTGCGCGCTGCGAAGTTTTCTTTCATGGATACGCTGGTGATGTAGAGAATGTTGGCCAGCTTGTTGGCGATGTTGTTGATGCTCGCTTCCATGTGTTCGCCGGTCTCCTCTTCCCGGGCGCCCTCCCCCAGCTCGTACATCTTGCGATTAGGAAGTGGCTGTTTCGATAGAAGCGGCTCCGAGGAAAGCGGTTTGGAGGAATGTGGTCTGTTGGAAGGCCGCTAGGCGAACTTATTCGGAAACTCTTCCAAACGTGGTTACGCCTTGCCGCCCAAAATGACTTGCAAAAGGTGAATTTTCACGCGGGGGGGGCCTTTACCAAGAAAGGGTCCCCCTAAACGATGAGCACAAATTTGGAAAAAAAAAAAAAAAACATCAACAAAATATATCAAAAAAAAGTTAAACATGTCGAAAGGGCAATTAAAAGAGATTACAAATAAGTAACAAATCGAAGAGGCAATTAAACGTGGCAGCTGGCGAGCTACTACCTCCCAAAGCGAATGCAGTAAACGAAGGCACTTCGCACGTCGTTCATCTGCAGAAACTGGTGAACGGAAAAGTTTCCATTCTGAATTATGTCCCCAAAGAGGTGCAAAAAAATCAAGTTGTTTTTTTGAAAATTCGATATATGTACAACGGGGAGGGAAAACATGTAAACTGGGGGAATGCCGCGCTTGGAAAGGAACTTCGTTGCCTTGATGGGCCTTCTGCCGATGTGTAAAAAATCATTCCTCCTTAGGTAACGAATGTATACTTGGAATTTTTCCCTTTTCTTTTTCCTCCTCTTTTTAATTAACAGGTATGTCTCCTTCTGATGGGTCATACTCTTCACATTGCTGCGATTGATTCTGCAGACCTGTCCTGATATACCATCGAGCATGTACACATTTGCGTTTTTTTCTCGTAGCTGAGGAGGAGGGGCTTCCTGCTCCTCCGAGTCTTTCTCTTTTTTCTCTCCACTCGTTACTATGCGAAAGAAAATTCGATTAACGAGCAGTTTGTTTTCTCCATCCAGATGTATAATTCGTACTTTCTCATTAGGTGAACAAATTCCCCCCTGGGTTGATGGGCTACACGCCTCGTCGTTATTAGCTCCACCCTGTGCTTCTCCCCTCCCATCGCAAAGGGAATATATGCCCCTCTGCCGAGTCACCTCCGACATTTCCCATGTGGTGCTGCACAGGTAAGATCGAACAAACTCATATAGCGACTTGTACACACGATCTACATTGGCATAGGTCAAATTTAACCCCGTGTATTTGCTGACCATTCCATGGAGGACTTGCATGCGGACAAATGTGGAGGGTAAAATTAAGAATTCCAAAAAATTAAAAATTTTTAAAAAAAAATTATGTTCATATAGAAGTTTTTTAATTGATATGAGTCTATCCATTTGATCGTTGCGGGTTCCAAAAAAGGAGTCGTACAGTTTTCTTTGCATGATCTGATATTCTTTGATGAACGGATTGGCACTTAGTTGTGTTTCTGTACTTCCCTCGTTGTAGCAGTAGTATTTATTGTGCATGTATATGGTGAAGACGTTTGTGCAGAACTGCAGGTGGGTGTCCAAGTTGGTCGTTTGGGCCATGATGTTGCTGAGCTTGCGGTCCAGCGCGGGGTACGCGTACACGCGGCTGCTTTGTAGCTCGCCTCTCACAGCGGGGTTATCGCGTTTAGCAGTGTTAGCGGGGTTAGAAATTTTGGCTGTTGTATCCGTGTTGGTCGTCGTATCCACGTTGGCTACCCTGTCGGTGTTGGCTGTCGTATTTGTGTTGGCTACCTTCTGTGTGTTGACTACCTTCTGTGTGTTGACTGCATTGGCGACCCCTCCCCCAAACAAGGAGGAAATGCTCGGAATTACGACGTGCCTGATGAAGTTTCTCGTGGCGGACAGGCTCTGATTAGACGTGTCGAAGCGCCACGACTTATTCACAATCTGCATGTACAGGTACAGGTTAATTTTGCTCAGCTTGATAAACGGCCTGTATATTAGGCAGTCCTTAAACCCGGTGAGGAATTTGATGCCCCTCAGGTTTTTGATGAAGGCCCCCCTGAGGAACTGAAACAACACGGTTTCGTTGTTGTCGTTTCGGTGGTGCCCCACAAACACGAGAGACTTCACGATGGAGCAGGCTCGCGCAGTGGCCATCGGAGCGGTTACCCACCTGTTCGGCGATGTCTTTAGCGACGTGTTTGGCGACGTTCTGATTGACCCCTCACCCTTGAGCAGCACCTCCGAAATGGGCTTCCTATTAGCCAATTTTATGTAGTGGTCTACGTCGCTCAGGTAATCCCGGTACCTGTACTTGGGCCTGCTCCCCCCTTCTGCGTACATGAAATTGTGGTTGCCCCCCTGCGCTGTGCGCATGCGTCTTCCCCTGCTGGCCTCCCTCTCTATCTGCCTGGTCAGCTGCATGTACACGTTTTTCCTCCATTCTCTGGCCAGGAGTAGAAAGTTATTCCCCCGTTTGCGGCGCGGTTGATTTTTTTGGGCCGTTTCTTCCTGTTCAGCCGCCGCCCCCTTCCTCCTGAGCACCTTGGTTCGGAACCTCAGCTTGTGCCTCCTACAAATATTCTTCACAAAGTTCTTCTCCTTGGCGCAATCCTCCCTCGTCGCATGGTTGCAATACAGGACGGTTACATTGCTCAAAACGGAGGCAAAGAACTGAACGCCACTATCTCCCTCACGGGAGCGGACAATCTCGTTTATATCATCATGCGTGTAGGAGTAGACGCCATTTAATATCTGCAACAGGGATGCGTAACTCTGAGAGTGTCTGTACCGTAGGGTCACTAAAATTTTGTACACAACAAAAAGGAAGGAATACAAGAGGGAAAGGGAATCCACCCCCGCGCTGACACTGAAAATTAATTTTTTTTTTTTTTT